TCTCTTGAGTAATAGCTTCTAACATTTTCCCCGTGGCAGATGTTAAACTAACCGATCTGTAGTTTCTTGCTTTCTGCCTCCATCCCTTTTTGATTAAATGAGGTATATTTGCTATTTTTAAAACCTAAAGGAACCTTCCCTGGATCTAATGAGTTTTGGAAAATTAAAATGTTTGCATTGATTACTGCACTGGCTACATGTTTTTAGGCCCTCAGATGAAATCCATCAGGACCTAGGGACTTGATAACAACTCACAGTCCCAAAATTTACTCAGTACTACTTCCCTGGTAATTATAATCTTCTTGATTTCCTCTCTCCCTTTCAGTTCCTGATTTACAGCTATTTCTGGGATGTTACTTTCACCCTCTCTCTCTCTCGTGAACATCGATGCAAAGTATCTATTCAATTTGTCTGCCATCCCTTTATCCTCCATTTCTAGTTCATTTACTGTCTGACCAGCTTTTACTTTTTTAACTCTTTTCTTTCTTAGTTATCTGAAGAAACTTTGCCTATCTGTTTTTATATTTTTGGCTAGCTTTCTCTCATACTCTAACTTTTCCCTCCTTGGTAATGTTTCAGCAATTTTTTTTTGATTTTTTTAAAATAGCAATCTTCTGACCCACCGTCTTTCTATGTCTTTTCATTGAGCTTGACTTTTTAGAAAGTAACCGCAGGTGTCGGGTCCATCTCGTAGAATTGTTCTTGTTTGTTGGAAAGTATTTACTCTGGGCTTTCTGGAGTAACCCCTTGGAATGTTTGCATCTCTATGGAACCTATCCTCCCTTAACCTAACTTGCCAGCTCACTCTCGCGAAGCATGCTTTCATCCCTTCACAATTGCCCTTGTATAAAGTCAAAATACTAGTCTCGGATCTATACTTCTCGTCTTTAAACGAGATGTAAAGTTTGATCATATTATGGTCTCTGCTGCCCAGGCTGGGGGGATGGTGAGCTTTCAGTACGAGGTCAATAATTAATCCTGCCTTGTTGGGTCAAAACCAGGTCTTGTTTTGCCTGCTTTCTAGTTGGTGCCTAACATTCTGGTCTCAGAAATTGTCCCCAGAACGTTCAATTTATTTCTCATTGTGACAACCCTTCCCTCTCTGATTTTTCCAGGACATTAAAATCCCCTGGATAATTGCTGCACACTTTTCACATTATATTTTCCCCTGATACCCTGTGGCTACTGTTTGGGGGCCTGTACACAACTCCCACAAGTGACCTCTTGTCTTTATCATTCCTCATCTCTCTATCAAGCCTGCTTCTAATTTCCTGGATTGAGATCATCCCTCTCTATTGGATCAGTTGGGTTTTTCCTCCAACATTCAGCAATGGATTCATGGTCATCATTAGACTCTTAATTCCAGATTTTCCTCTGAATTCAAACTCAATCATCTGCTGTGGCGGGATCCGAACCCGGGTCAACGGAACATTACCTGGGTCTAGGGATTAACAGTCCACTGATAATACCACCAGGTCACCACTTGTTCACACCAGTCTCTTCTCCCAGACCAGTCTCCCAACCAGGCATCCATCTCTCTAACCTTGTTTACCCCAATGCCAATTTGCACATGGCTCACATAATAATCCAGAGACTATTACTTTTGAGGTTCTGCTTCTTAAATGGGTGCCTAGCTCCTCATACCGGCGCTGCAGAATGCCTTTCATGGTGCTATCTATGTCATTGGTAGAAAATAGACCATACCAACTACTTCCTCAGCCTCCTACTCCAAATCCTTTGGCAGCCCAGAGCAGATATCCTGGACCCTGGGTCTGCCATCTGGATTCTCACTCTTTGCGGTTGAGAACAATGTCAATAACATCACCGCGCTCCCCCGCAACCCAACTATGTTGTTCCCTACACTCATCATATCCCTTTTGGCTTCCCCAGCTTGGATAGTGTATTGTACCCACACTGTCATGGGCATTTCAACTCGTCAGCCCATTGCTCTCATCCTTTTTTTAAAATAATTTGTGGAACATGAGCATCGCTGCCTAGGCCATCATTCATTGCCACGTCCCTAATTGCCCCTTGAGAAGGTGGGGATGAGCTGCCTTCTTGAACCACTGCAGTCCACCTGCTGTGGGTTGACCCACAATGTCCTTAGGGAGGGAATTCCAGGATTTTGACCCAGCAACACTGAAGGAACAGCAATACTTTTCCAAGTCAGGATGGTGAGGGGCTCGGAGGGAACTTGGAGGGGGTGGTGTTCCCGTGTATCTGCTGCCCTTGTCCTTCTAGATGGAAGGGGTCGTGGGTTTGGAAGGTGCTGTGTGAGGATCTTTGGTGAATTTCTGCAGGGCACCTTGTAGATGGTACACACTGCTGTGACTGAGTGTCGGTGGTGGAGGGAGTGGGATGTTTGCGGATGTGGTGCCAACCAAGCGGGGGCTGCTTTGTCCTGGATGGTGTCGAGCTTCTTGAGTGATGGAGTTGCACTTGTCATAATTGCTCATTGGGAATTGAGCGCTTGGCTTTTGTTCCTGGTGTTAGCAGTAACCTTGCTCATTCAGAAAGTTGGCGAATGTAAAATTGTGATAGGACGCTGGTAAAAAGTTTCACAGAATGACCGGGAAGATTGTATTACTTGAACACCAGCGCATCAAAGACCATTTTACTTGCACTGATAGAATAGTCACTGAACTGTTCTCCCCCTTTACAGCATCACGCAATGTCTAAGAGATTGGAAATATAAGGGTTGGGGCTATGTGGAGGGGCTGAATGGCCCACTCTCGTTGTCTTGATTTTGAACACAGCTCACCTGTGCAGGGACCCAGGAGTTGAAAATTGTTTTGCTCTCTGGACCTGGGACTGGGCTGTGGTGACCCCACCCATAGTCAGGGGGGTCCTTGAGTTGAAACAAACAAATGGCCAACAGCACAATAATAGGTCAGGGACATTAAACAGAGAGACAATTGTGAAGTCCTCTCAGAGCAGATGTCAAGCTGGGGGTGTGGGTAGGGGTTGGGGTGTGGGGAAGGGTTCACGTGAAAAGCCACACTGATGCAATAGGAGGCTGGGATCCATGCACCAAAGGACATTAACTCATGCACTATCTGACCTGTGAGTGCTGGAGGTAAGCGTGTAGTTGGAGGTAGACAGGACAATTGATGAGATATAACTAAGAGGTCAGAGTTCAGATTTAGCATTCAGCTAGTTCAGGGGGTGGGGACCACAACTCTCACCCCAACCCCTGCAATTTGTACACCTATCCTCCTGCCCTCCCTCACCACCAAACGCTGTTGCCTTTGACCGCAGTGAACAAACAGGGAGCTGATCGTTAAAACCCTCCATGGTCTCACACCTCCTTACCTCTAAAACTTCCTCTGTCTCAACAGCCTTCAGACAGCTTGCTGTACATCGATTGCAGCCCTGGCACTATCCCCTCCCCCCTACCGATTTCCACTGGTCAGAAATCACACATCACCAGGTCACAGACCAACAGATTTATTTGAAATCACAAGCTTTCGGAGCACTGCTCCTTTGTGAAGTGAAGCCACTTTACCTGACAGAGGACCAGCGCTCCAAAAGCTTGTGATTTCAAACAAACCCGTTGGACTATAACCCTGGTGATGCGTGACTTCTAACACTGTGAGGACAAGGGTTCAAATCCTATCAATGGATTTGGTGGAATTTTGAAATAAATTGATAAAAGTGTGAATTGAAAACTCGTTGCAGTAACAGTGACTGTGAAACTATCATTCATTGTTGTTTAAAAACTTTTAGGGAAGGAAATCTGCCATCCTTACCCGGTCTGGCCTACACATGACTCCAGACCCACAGCAATGTGGTTGACTCCTAACTACCTCCTGAAATGATCCAGCTCAATTTCAGGGACAGTTAGGAATAGGCAATAAATGCTAGCTTGCTTTTAGCACATTCACCTTCAATCCCAGTCTGCCCTACTCTTAGGTCCATTATCATGGTATACGGGTCACATTCAGTACAGCTCAACCATTTTCTCCTACTCTTAGCACCTGTTATGACAGTAGCTCAGTGGGTTAGCACTCCTGTCCTCACAGCGCCAGGGGCCCGGGTTCGATCCCACCCTCAGGTGACTGTCTGTGGAGTTTGCACTTTCTCTCTGTGCAGGTTTCCTCCCACAGTTCAAAGATGTGCAGCTTCGGGTGGATTGGCCATGCTAAATTACCCATAGAATGTGGGTTAGGGTGGGGTGCTCTTCAGAGGGTCGGTATGGACTTGATGGGCCAAACGGCCTGCTTCCACACCATAGGGAGTCTATGATTCAGCTAACTTGGCCCGCTATCCACAATCTCCTTGTTTACTTGTTCCCTTCCATATCTCACGCTCTCTGTCTTCACCCCTCCCTCTAACTTGTCTTCAGCATAAATGCCACCTTTCGCTGGTTGCTAACTCTTCTGACTAAGTGTTAGTTCATGAAACATTAACTCTGTTTCCCTCCCCACAAATACCGCCAGACCTGCTGAGTTTCTCCAGCAACATCTATTTTTATTTCGGATTTCCAGCATCCACAGTTCTCTGTTTCTGCTGCCAAGGGGAGGTGGTAGAAGCAGATATGATAGCAATCTTTAAAAGGAATTTAGACAGAAACATGAACAGGCAGCGAATAGAGGGATACAGACCATGTGCAGACAGATGGGTTCGGGTTAGAATGGCTGGCACAGACATAGTGGGCCGAAGGGCCTGTTCCTGTGTTGTACTGTTCTATGTTCTATATAATAAATGCTGGAGGTTACCAGTGGGACCCACATCTCATGACAGAAAAGAACGGAAAAGCTTTTCTCGGGCCCTAAGCATTGGAAAAGGGGTCGTGAAAATTAATTAAAATTTTATTTTAACCGGCACATTGTCAACGGCCTCTCTCGATAAACCGGCAAAAGGGGATCTCGCTGGAATACGTGATGTCTGAATATTTGTGCCGTAAATAAGGTAAAACAGTGATGTGTATAACCACTGATTTACATTGCTATGACTTACTGAGTGTTTAAAATGTATGTAGTTAATGACACTGCAGTATATATATATTTATGTCTATATATTATAATATGAAATTTGAGATTTGATATTATTTACAAAAGAAATTAATACAGTTCCATAATTTACTGTCCTGGCCCCAGATCAGAAGGTGATCTTTCTCTGCAAATGGCAGATTCCCGAAGGGATCCGCTGCCATTGATCCCGGGGCTATTGCACGATTGGGAGCAGGCCAAGAGACAAAGGGCTCAGACCTCCAGGAAATCCGAGATGTCCACGGTCACCTTGATGAAGATGGTGTCATCCTTGATGTAGTGGTGCGTCTCGTTCTCGAGCACGGTCTGAGTCACAAAAAGAGGGCAGCCTGAAGCCACGTTCATCTCTGTCTGGGGCCGGTGGAAGCTGGAGCTGTTGGGGTCGGGCTTGAAGGTATCGGACACGTGATCCTTGGCTGGGCCCTGATCCAATAGGGTGAGGGTCACTTTCTGCCTGAACGGCCAGGGCAGCAGGGGGTCGTACTCACCCCTCATCACCACAAAGAAGAGTGACAGGTGGGTGCCCTTGCCCATGCCATCGCCGTTCAGGTAGACCCGGGCGCACATCTTGTAGCCAAAGGGGCTGCTGTAGAATGGCTGGCTGTACAGGGACAAGGTCTTGGCGGACACTGCCTCCTGCTTCCGACGGGTGTAATCCCGGATTTTCCAGATCAGTCTCCCGTTGTAACTAGCCGTCTCCAGCAGCTGGAAACGGAGATCAGTCTCGGCCAGTCGCACCTCGTGCACACTCAACAATTTATCGTGTTGGGTAACTTGATGCTCAACCAATTCTGAAACTGGAAAACAGGGATACCTCATTACTATCTTAATATTCTACCGAGGAAACAAATTAACTAACTAACTAACCAATCAACTACTTAACTACCCAATTAACTAACTAGCTTATTAATTACTTAACTAATTACGTACCTCTGACATCCGTAAACCTTCTCTGGACTGCTCCAATGATCTTTCCTTCCAAAAGGATCCCTCAGATATGTCTCCAGTCCCCGGGTTGCGAATGTGATAATACAATGGCTTTCAGAGATGTATTTTGTCCCGGTCTGAAGTCATACAACACCAGGTTATAGTCTGACAGGATACAGTTGGGCTATAACCTGGCGTTGTGTGACTTCAGACTTTGTCCACCTCATTCCAACAACGGCACTTCCTCATCATATTTTATCCTGGCTTTTTATGAAGATAGGATGAGACGGAGATACCAAGTGGCCTGTTCCAAGCCAATAAAATAAACAGCTTGTGAGGCCTTGGGGGTTTTTTTTTTGAAAGTTGGAACAATAGAAGTAGCCTGACAGGGTGGAATCAGGCACCAGGGTTTTAATTTAGTTTCAGCAGTTGCTGGGGTTTTACAAGCGGGTTTAGAAGCTGCTACATCTCTCTCTCTCTCAGCTACAGCTGAAGTCTTGAGTTCTCTTCCTGCTGCCAGAACTGCGTGTGGGTCAAACTATTTTATTGAATTTGTCTTTGCCAAGTGTGTGTTTATGGGATGTTACTATATTGGAACAGTTGCTGTTTAGTAGTTAAATAATGTATTATTCTGTTAAGTTTTCCAATACAGTTATATCAGTTCTTCATTTTGTTTATATTTTAATTGTTGGATGAGAATAAAGAGTGTTTTGCTTAAATTGCAACCAGTCAAATTGCATGTGCAACACAGCACCTTAAACTTGCCTCTGAATAAGATAGAAGTCAGGGTCGAGGCTATCTCCTTGATATATTTGAAGGGGGTCCGGTCTGGTCCATAACACAAATGGGTTCCACTCTGGAGAACTATTGCAAGATTAATTGCATGCAAGTCCAAAATCGTTGTTCATTAGAACAGAAAATGTTTGCATTTCAGATCTTTAAAACAGCTCCCCTGTGTGAGATCGCATTCTTAAGGAGGAGCATTCGGAAAGCAGGGATCCCATATTCGGTTCCCATTTTTAAGGATGAGAACCAATTGGGACCAGCCCTCCTCTGTTCTACATATCAACAGAACACATCGACACAGGTGACTGGGACGTCAATCCTTACTTGATGCAAACTGTGACCAAACTGATAATTTTTCTTCATCTTAATTCATGGGGCATGGGTATCACTAACTCAGGTACAATATATAGCCCATCGCTGTGGGTCTGCAGTCACAGACCAGATAAGGATGGTTCACTAAAGGGTATCAGAGCAACAACCTAGAGTTATTAATCATAGAATAGAATCATAGAATCCCTACAGTGTGGAAACAGGCCCTTTGGCCCAACAAGCCCACAGCGACCCTCAGAGAATCCCACCCAGATCCGTCCCCCTATAACCCACCTAATCTACACATCCCTGAACACTTGGGCAACTTATTATGGCCAATCCACCCTAACCTGCACATCCCTGAACACTACGGGCAATTTCCCATGGCCAATCCACCCTAACCTGCACGTCTTTGGACTGTGGGAGGAAACCGGAGCACCCGGAGGAAAGCCACGCAGACACGGGGAGAATGTGCAAACTCCGCACAGACAGTCGCCCGAGGGTGGGATTGGACCCAGGTCCCTGGCGCTGTGAGGCAGCAGTGCTAACCACTGAGCCACCGTGCCACCCCTTTATTATAATTAGTTCAAGACTTTTTTTGATTGAATTCAAAAGTTAACCTCCTACCGCAATTGGATTTGAACTCATAACCTCAGAACGTTAACCTGAGATGCCCAATGATGAGCCCAGTGACATTACCACAGCACCAACCATCTATGGGTGGCATGGTTAGCTTACTCTGTCAGAGCCAACTTGACCAAGAGTCATTAATACTGAGTGCTGTAGTGGCTCTGCAATTCCTTTCTGCATTGTGGTCCTTGCTGGAAAATTGAATCAAAGAGAATACGAGCCATTCAGCCACAAACCCAGCCTGCTTTACCAATCAATACCATTCAGGCTGACCCTTGCTCTCTCTCCTTACCCCTTACTGACATTGATGTCCAGTAAACTATCTTCTCCTTAAATATATTTAGCCCCTTGGCCTCTGCAGCTGAGAATTTTACAGGTTCACCGCTCTCTGAGTGAAATTCTCTTCACTCCGCGACCTGAGACAGTGATATCTTGTTCTAGCCTCCACCCCACCACACTCCCACCTCTTCAGCCAAGGTGAATATATCTAACCCCAAACATAGAATGGCTCCACACTCAAAACTGGATGGGATGCAACATCATCAGTTGCAACCATTGGAAATATGAATTGTCTGCCAATTCCTAAAGCCCACTCACTCACCTGAGCTACTGATGCCCCTGTAGAGGCACGGAGTGCTCTGGCCAGTCTCTAGGATTGTTAGCCTACTGGACAGGTTTCCTGTGTTGTGGCGTACTGACATAAGCTCTTGTTTTATGTCTTCCTGCAACTTGCGCCTCTCCAGCAGCTCCCGCTCGACCTGATGCAGCCTGTCGGTGTGCACAGCCAATGTTTTCTGCAAAAGACGGTAGATTTGATCAGAGACTAGCTTGGTTTGATGGCTTGGTTGAACCGTTCTACCCAGACAGTAACAGTCACTATGATTGGTTCAGCTATCTCCAGGACGAAGGTCAATGCATAAAACTGACTTGCGATTGGCAGCTTTTAGAGTGTGTGTGTGTGTGTGGGCGTGTGTATACATGTTTGAGTGTGTGTATGTGTTGGTATGTGTACATGTTTGTGTGTGCATGTGAGTACATGGGTGTGTATGCATGCGTGTGTGCATGCATGTGTATGTGTACGCATGTGTATATGTCTGTGTATATATGAGTGTGTGTACTTGTGTGTGTGGGTGTGTGCACAAATAATTGTGT